CGTCCAAGGCACGGGGGGGGGGGGCATTTTTATTTCGGCCCTGCTTGATCTAAGGAGGTGCTCGCGTATCTGGCCGACATTGACCCGAATGAGAAGCCAAGCGTGGCAGACGCTGGACATGCTGCTGCGCAGGATCCCCGCCAACTCCTTAGATTATACTCAGACATACTCAGACATTGTTGCGCAACGGCTGATGTTTCAAATTTTGGGGTCCGTGCCAGGCAAGATGTACCTGGACGGGCTCAAAGATGGCATCAACTGTCGTATGGACAATGGGGAACTGCCTAAGAGTGCCTTGTCTAGGTTCTTCTGAGCTCATTTTGCACCAAGCGCGGTGTCCAGAATCCTAACTGGCGCTATTCCGAAGTTCCGAAGCCCTGGATCTAAGGTCTCAACGCAAAGGTGATTCTGGCTTATGTCCGTCATCTGAGATCCCACCGCGAGAAGATCATGGCCGCCATTACTGTGTACTGGCACGGAAATACCCAGTGCATTGCTTGCGAGAAGCAGTCTGCTTACTTGCCCAGCGGGCTGACTCAGTGGTCCGAGACGGTGCTGTGGTCCTGGGAGCATCTGGTCCTCAATAATGTTGGGGGTGGACTGCGCATTTCCTGTGCTAGCCCTGTAGGGAGCGCTGGACACATGCGTCGCATGACCTAGGCACTCGAAGCCTTTCATCCACGACGGGCAGAAGTCCAGCTTTGTGGACGAGTTTGTGCAGGTGCCGACAATCCCGGAGTTCGATGAGACAAAGATTGTAGCACCAGGCAGCCCAGGCAGAGCAAGTCGTCGCGCTCTGGACACTAGGCTGCTCTGGCTATCGGGGGCTGGGGTTAGTGTGCTTCAATTGAACACTTGTTGCGAAGCAGCCAGGGTCGATGATTGAGGGATGTGGGGTTGCTGGGTTCCAAGGGGACATTGCCGAATTTCTTTGCGTTTTGCAGCCAGAGTTTGTTTTTTGTGGCAGCCAGCTGGAAGCCTTTTACATCCACCTGGCCTTGTTCCTTATACTTGCTGCGTAGTCGTCCCCTTTGTGACTCTTAATCAACTGCGCGGAGGATGACTCGCCTCGCAGCATGATGAGCAACATGAGCAGGCCAGACGACATAGAGCATTTGGTGGTGTATGACCCGCCCACTATGAGGGCATTGTTGGTGAACATCAGCGACCCCGCGAAGGTTGCTGTTCTTCCGCAGGCCACTGACTTCTTCGTTGCCAGACATCGTCTGAGTGGCCGCGAGTATGTCACGTCCGCTGTCATTCAGTACATGCACTACGCTGCTCAACAGCAACCGTGCTAGCATGAGCATTGATGTGTGAGATTAGCGTGGCAATAGCTGCAACTTGTACAGAAGATCAGGTTGCCGAGATCTTCGCGCGCGAGGAGGACGCACGAGCCCAACAGGAAGAGGAGGCTGCGAAGCAGCGTGCGCTTGAGGAAGAGGCGAAGCAGCGCCAAGCTCAGGAGAGACAGCGCGAAGAGAAGGAGAGACAAATGGCAGCCTTGGCGAAGAAGAAGCAGGAGGAAGAAGAGCGTCTTGAGCAGCTTCGCCGGGAGGCGGCGGAAGCTGGGCAGAAGGCGGAAGCGGACCGCAAAGAACGTGAGGAGGCACGCGTCAATGAGAAGGCCTTGCAGCTTGCTCAAAGGATGAGGCACGAGGAGCGCCTGAAAGAGGCGAAGGAGGAGGAGGAGCGCCTGAAAGCGCAGGCCGCCCACGAGGAGCTGTTGCGACAGAGGCCGAGCGCTTGGAGAAGGAGCGGCAGGAGCAAGAGGAGAAGGCCCGCCGAGCGGAGTGCCAGGGAGGAGCAGATGCGCGCTGCCGCCGCTGCCATTGAAGAGAGCAGCCTCCAGACGGCCCAACTTGAGGAGCTTGAGCGCATGGAGCGTGCGCCTGAGACGGAAGGCATGACGCCAGGAAAGGAGCTGCTGGGCAAGTTCGAGGGTGTGGCGCCTCGCAACCTGAAGGCAAGAGCGAACTGATAGACTTGATCAGCTTGACGAATTGAAGTCTCACATTTTGCTGCAGGAGACGGCTTCTCTGGAAGTCCACACGACGGGCGAGGACAACGAGAACACACTCAGTGCGGGGTTTCTCTAAAATGCGAGTGTGTTTTGTGTTTTGTGTGGACAGGACAGCCAGGGTACAATTGCCGCAAATTGCGGCGCGGGCTCTTCTGCCGGCAGCCCTTCAGTCGAGGTGCTACCGAAAGCTCTGCCTAGGTTTTTTGAAGCATTTTGGGATTGATTTGAGGGCCCCTCCTTCTTCAAAGCCGGTTGCGTAGGGTTGATGTGGGGGCCTGGCTTGGGGGGTGAGGCCATGGTGGAATGGGAAGGGCCGGTGGCCGGGGCCTGGGGGGGGGGCCAAGCGCCCTCTCTCGACTAACGTGAATCCGTTGTATTTTACAGGGGATTCACGTTACACCCAGTTCTTGGGAGAGGGCGCTCGGGCCCCGCCCCCAAGGCCCCGACCACCCCGGCCCCTCCCATTACACCACGGCCGCGCCCCCCAAAACCGGGGCCAAAGACGAGCTGTTGCTGCGGGGTTTTTTGCGGGACCTATGCTGGGAGAACTGCAGACTTGGGCTTTCCTGAACTGTAAAAATTAGGTCAAGGACCTCCAAACCCCACTCTCAGACTCTCGGACCAAACCGAAGACTTTTGTCCTCAGCTCTCCCCGCTTGCTTGGCAGGACAACCGTGGCACCGCCGTGGCATCCCTCGTATTAAGTTGCGCTGATGCTCGGGTTTTTGAGTCACGTTTTCGCTCTGGAGCGGCCCCTGACGTGCCCTGCTTTTTCATGGGCTGCAAAGCATCCGACCTTTCGTGAGTGCTGTACAGGGATGACAGAAAGACCGAGGGTCCGCCCGCGTGTCTGCGGACTTGAAAAGAGCCAACATCATGCCTTCGCCCTTCCTGCACTCATGTGCATGCCTGCCCCACTTTCAAAATACGCTTGAACTCGTGCAGGTTATCGATCCTGCGCTGGTATCTCTGGTGCGTGCTTCCCGGGACGGCGACTCGGGCGAGGAAGCGCTGGAGATGGCGAAGATTGCGGACGGAGTTGTGTAATTTGCCGTCACATGCGCAAGCTGACTTCTTACAAGCCCTCCCGCCTTGAGCTGCATCTCTGCTGTGATTCAGGAGCTGGAGCAGAGCCAGACAATCCCAGAGGGTTCTCTGGACCGGTTCAAGAAGCAGAAGCAGTCGAGAGCTGCTCACAGTGAGCCGCTCAAGTTCTTGCAGCACCTGCAAAGCGCTTTAAAAACAGGTCTTTCTGTGGACATAGACGACTTCGCTCCCAGCCCTCCGCCAGCGCCGGGCCAGGGGAACCCGGACACCCTTCTACAGCAGAAGGTTTTGATCCTCACTGCAGATGAGGAACCCAAGCAGCCCGCCGCCCACCATTCCGCTTTTGCGCATTCATTCCTGCAACTCAGCATGTGAGCGTCTGCGTGCAATAGCAATAGAACTTCTTGGAATGAATCCACTCCCAGGGCTCGAGCAATGAACATTCTCATCTACAACTTGCGGATGAGAATATTCTGCAAGCGTGATGAACATCACCGTTGTGCCAACGACTGTGATTTGGCCGCCAAAAGAGAACATCTGTACGGACGCATGGCTTCTGTCATTGTTTGGGGTGGTGGCACCTTCGTATGTCATGTCATGGCTGCCAGCCTCTCGATGTGCGTGTGCTCCACCTATTGTTACATTTCTAAGGAGTCATGGCCTGTACGCGCCTTGTCATGAGCGTGAACCGAAAACCCTTCGAGGACTACACCTTTGCCCAGGAAATGGCCGGCCTTGCTGATGCTTATCTTGAAGCCTTCGCGCCAGACAGTCCGGAGTGCCTCAGTTGCAAATGTCACACAGGGACATGCGCGCAGCAATTCCTCCTCTGTTACCAGTCTACGCATCTGTCCAGCTCAGGTTCCGAAAAGAACTGCCAGAAATGAGACGCGACCTAGGATTGAGCCCCGTCACTGGAGCAGCAGAGGTGCACGCTAGATTGCGCGCGGGCATCTCCCAATGGACCGGTACGGATGTGCCTGGGCACAATGACATCTTCGCAGCATCCATGCCAGTTACTAGTTGGTGCCCGCAGCTCAGGTTACATTATTCATTATCCCGCTGGTTCCAATGGGATTGTGGGTGGGCAGCGTTTTCGCCCTTCTGGACATTCGTGAAGAAGCTCCACGCTTGGCGAAAGGTACTCAGTGGCACATCGGAGCAGGCAGGCTGCAAGGTTAGCCCTGTCGGTGTGTGCGTGTGTCTGTGTGTGTGCACCCCCTTGCTGCTGAAACAGGCTGAGGACGATGCGCTGGCCAATGCGGCCGGGCGCGACGACGTTCTTGGCCAGCCTGGCGACCTGGCAAAATTGCTTAAGGAACTGCAAGCTGTCAAACCCACGCTGGACGTGGCTTACGATGTTCTCAGAGACAACTCCATCCGCAAGTACTCGCATATGCCTGCTGCTTAGTGTCTACTGGCTGTCTGACGCAACATAACTCAGTATGTATAATTAATAACTGACAGCGGTGTGACGCGGTTACCTTAGACCTAGCCATGAAATCTCGGAAGGCTCTACTTGACACGGCGGCCTTTGTACTATGACCACCTGTCCGTGATGAATGCGACCAAAAAACGGGATGAGAATCATCGCCTGCAAGCTGATTGGGCAGCGCGGGGGTGGTGCAAGACGGTGTCTACCGCCCTGGGGATCTTGACTGATTCTAGGGCAGTGCGGCAGCTAGGATTCCATGTTGCAGACCCGGACACCGCAACCCAGCAAGCAGATGCCGAGACCATGTTTCGCCTGGTAGTGGGCACTGCTTCCCAACGTGCCTGGTCCATGAGCATCCACGACCTACCACCCCGCCAGTTTGCTGGCGTGCTAGGCCAGAATGCGCATGCTGCCATACAGCGAATGGATTGTGATGAAAGCCATCCGCCTTGCTGACGATGATGCTTGCGAGGATCAGGAGGCCTGCGCTTGGGCGTGGTTAGGGTTTGGGGTTTAGGGTTCAGGGCTTCAGGGACATCCGATGAACCCTATATTTCCCACACATGACAGGGCACGCTTTATGCACGGATTATACTGGAAAACCAGTGGAAAGCCTTACCTGAATCCTGCGCCCGAGTTCCCTGAACCCTACATCCCAAACATGTCCCCGTCCCCCTCAATGTGGGCAGGCCATCCGGGACACACTCTCCGAACTGTGGCTGCAGCATGAGACCGTTGTTCAGGACTTGGGATTAGAAGGTAGTATAGGGTGCATTGTGTATGACACATGATACGTGTACAGCGCGTGATGGAGTCGGATAGTCTTATTTCCCCGAACATGCGCAGCAGCAGCTTGGCAGGGCCTCCTTCCTGCTTGTGTGCTGCAAACCAGATGACCTTGCAGGACGTTTGGCATCACTGCGCAGAACACGGGTGGAGTTTGGAAGTACTCTACCCGCACTGCCATCAGTTGTTCAACACGATGGTGAGCACGAAGGAGGTCCTTGAAGACCTCTTTGGTCATCTATCACACCGCGACAAGACTGACAATCGAAACTTGGTTCAGATGAGTCCAGAGCGTGCCTGGTTCCATGCTGTCCTAAACCCACGGTGGCTGACTGATGCTTGGCCCTGCCTGCAGCTCCAAGAAGGTGATCTGCAGAATCGTACGGCAATCAACCTTGCTCGGGGCCGCAATGTCTATCTGCCCAGCACAGCCAAGAACTCCAGCAATGCGTATGGACATTTGCTTGAGATTGTGGATCGAGGATTCTAGCTTCAGGGGACGGGAAGTGCTTCGTCAGGGGAGTTCCTGTTCGGTACAGCCCAAACAGTCATATTCGGATTGAGGCATATTCAACAAGAGCATGTCTTGCTGCGATACTATTTGGTGTCACTAGGTCACTAGGTACCGTACGGACCCCCAGCAGAGCATGCGCAAGCCAAACGCAATGGCAATTTTAGTTTCAGCTGCTATCCTGCTCAATCAATCAATCAATAGTTCTCCTGCTGGCACCCCATGTTCTCAGTGGCCTTGATCCAGTCTCAGGCAGCTGTTTGTAGCCTGGGTATTGCCCCAAACCCAACAAATGCTCCAGAGCCAAACACTAATTGAATGCTTACTGTCATAATATGGCCTGGCGTATCAGAGTGTATCAGAGTCTCAGAAGCCTCTCCGCCTCACCTCGAGCTGCCGCAGGGTCCTGGCGTTCCAAGTGGTAGGTAGGCTAATTATGTGTTCTTTCAAGGGGCATTGGGAAGTTCAGTTAAAGGCTACAGTCTGTCGGGGCTTTCCGTTCAGATTCCACAGTTTCAGGTTTGCGGGGTCTTTTTCATTTCGGGACCTTTTCCACAGTGTAGGGACTCGTGTATATCTAGGCAAGGGGCAGGGTCTCCGAAGTATGCAGAAATCCACAGCTGATAGTTTTTACTGTAATTGTAGTAGCCGAGCCATGATGTACTTGCAGCGTGTCGCTGGATATTGGGAACCCAACGCCTCATTACTCCCCCCTAACCACCCTATCGCAGGACGGAAAAAAATCCCAGGCTTGGTTCGGGATGCGCCTATGCTGCGGCCAGCGGGTCAACCGTCTCAGTTCCGAGCAGTTGCTGCGCTGCTCTCATTGCGACAGCTGGCAGACTCTGACTTTCGTGACATTGGGGGATGCTGGGTGGGGGCCCTCTTTGAGCATGGGCATTTGTATCGCTGCGCAAGCTCGTCAATGCCTATGCTTTGTCTAGGCTTTCACTACAAGATTGCCTTCATGTTTCACGTCCAAGAATTGGAGCAGGGCTTCTTCAGGTTGTCCGAGGACAGTGCCACTGAGCCGTTGGATGCGCGTGACGCAGCCTCCAAGTTTGAGCCAGTGTGTCTAACCAGTATCAACAAGGCAGTCTCGGATGCTGTGGAGCCATGGACAGGCATACCTGTGAAAGTTTGTGACTTGCCACGCCTTTTCGTTTTCTGTTATGATTGTCTTCGTAATCTTTCCGGATTTTTTTGTACATTCTACCTAGACCTACCCAAGAATACGCTGCCTCTGGGAGCTAATTTCCTCGAGCCTTAGCCCCACCACCTCACTACTGTGGCCCCCCTAAACCCTAAAGCCCAAACCCGAAACCCTAAACCCTGAAAAACCTGAGCCCAGGTCTACCAACAGACCTACCGGCCACCATCCGCGGAACAGGCATCTTGCTCAAGCAGACCGGTGCAGAGACGGGTTTGGTTAAGTACTGGCTGCAGCACGGCACGCTGTGCCAGACCGCACCAGCCACGTTCCTCAAAATGCTGTGCAGCGCTACAGGTGTTGAGGAAGATGCCGGAGGGATTGACGAAGGCATGGGCAAACAGGAAGCGCTACTGAGCCTTAGCTAGATGTAGAACAAAAGCAACTTTGTAAAAGCAGTGCCCGCCCTTAGACAAAAAATACATATGTATACTTATATTTCTCTGCCATTGGGGGACTACTTGTTTGCCGATGTTGGGTTTCAACAGATCAGGACGATGCTCGTGTCGGCATACTTTCCAGACTTGTCGGCCAAAGACAAGAGGGACATGGTGCTACGGCTACTGAAGTCGGCCGAGGGCACCAGCAAAAGGAAGTCGCCAGCGTGTCTCTCTGCCGTCTTGAAGATCCTGGCGCACGAAGATGATTTCTCGAAACTGATGGAGCTGAAAACCCAGGTCGACGATGAAGACAGAGCAGATTTGGTGATCCGGCGTGAAGGTTATCACCGCTCCAAGGCAGCTGCTTTCACGCCGCTACTCATCAAAAACTTGAAGCCGCCTGGGCCCGGCATCTACATCAACATGCAGACGTCCCTTTGCCAGTTTCAGGGCTACTATGAGAGACCGCAGAAGCCAGCCGATGACAAGGGCAAAGTCAAGAAAAAAAAGGGAAGGGTGGGCGCTTTCACTCCACCGCCCGGCAATGGGGTGGGAAGTGGTCCCAAGCGAAGGCGCTGACGCTGGTTGTCAACAGACTCTGGGCTTGGCACAAGACGTATGGCCACGCTGCCTGGTGCTGTGTAGTAAATAATTGTGCATCTTTTTGCAGGCTCGCTGCTCACTCTATACTAATATGGTTGTTGGTTTACCCGAACAATTGATACTGAAGGATGTCTCGGGGAAGCCATCCAACAAAGAAATCCAGGCAGCCTTGGACAAGGTTTTGGCTGGAGAGACCGACCCCGGAGATGTTGCAGAGGCAGATGAGCCTCAGGCAGGTGCGGCGGGGCCCGTGCCTGGGGACGACTCCGACGAGGACGTGGATGAGAAGCTTGGTAGCTCAAGCTCATCTTTGTCAGACAGCGCAGGTGCCAAGCCTGGTCCCTCAGGCGTCCGAAAGTCTACGCCTGCGGGGCAAGCCTCGCCAAAGCAGAGACTGACGCCTGTTTCGCCAGGTGCAAAGTCGAGGGCTGGGGCAGCATTTCCAAAGGAAAGTGAAGCTGCCACACAGCCAGAGGAGCCTATGTTCGTGGTGCCAAAGGCAACGAAGACGGACAAGGGCAAGGACGAGGCGCCTAAGAGCGAGGTGCCCAAAGAAAAGAAAGACAAGGCGTCCAAGCGCAAGGCGGCCGAGGAGGGCGCCGACAAGAAGAAGGAGAAAAAGAAGGAGAAGAAGGATTCCAAGAACAAAGGCAAGGGCGCCAAGGAGCAACGCTCCTGGGATTGCATTTTTCTTGGGAGACTCCGACCCGTATAACCCTAAATCCTGCTCGTAACAAACCCTGGGAACGCATGGCAGACGTAACAATCCTAAACCTTAAACCTGAAGCTCTCGCCTCTACGCCCAAACCTTACGAGGCCTAAATCCCAAACTACTCCTGAAAATCAGAGGTGATGATGGCGCAAGTGCAGCAGTGTCACCGATCCCGAAAGCCAAAAGGGCCAAGAAGAGCAAGTAAGTTCCCAGCAGCAACGCAAAATGGCTTGGGTTATGGGAGGGTGCTTGCTGCTTTGCTTTGCCTGACCCCTGTGCTTCCATGTCACATGTACTACATGGCAGCGTGCTCTGGATCTAGTAACTACCTCCATTCCCTATTTCCTGTACAAGATTTGGAATACCTTCAGCTGATTTCAGCTGCCCGAATGATGGGCGCAATGCGAGGGTGTAATATAAACGGCCTTTGATTGAAGTCAGGGTTAAGGCGATGTGGTTTTGGGTTCAAGGTGCCAGGTGCCAGAATGCGGGAGGGGGAGAGACATAGAGAAAAAGAGAAAGAGAGAGATATAGAGAGAGCGACGCAGGTTCTGGCCCCTCGCACAGGGATTCCTTGTTTGGTGGTATGTTTCTTAATGCTTTGTGAGGGTATATGTTGTTTGGGAAATGAGGCTGCGAACAGCCAACACAGTGTTCAGATGTTCATACCTGCTGCAACCACTCTGAGGTTTTGGGTGCAACTTCTGCACTAGCCGTCACTAACCTCATTTATGGTCTGCATCTCTGCTGCAGGCATCCGAGATGGTTCCTGGCGACGTTTGCGAGGTGAAGGCAAGGGAGTAGGGTTTGTGGGGTTCAATGTATGAGAGGTCTCCTTAACGAGCAAAAGAGCTTGCCAAACTCTCTCTGAATTCAGTGTAGCTCGGGCCCATCATGGCATCACTATGATTGCTTGACGTTCCTCTCCGTTGTGGGTTTTCCGATTACTCAGTCGCCTTGGTTTGTCTAGCTATGGGAGTTTACCCACACGATGACCCTTCAGAAATCCACCACAGTACTCCTTATATAGCCCTATGATCCCGCTTCGGGGCCGTGCTCTGAATCATTATTGTTGTGATTCTTGCGTTGATTAATTGATTAGTTGATTATTTTGATCCACGACTTGACATAGAGCAGCACTAGCAACACGGATCATTTCCCTCCATGGAGTCCGTGCTGGCAGTCCTGTTCTGAGTAAACTGAGTAAACAATCTGTACATCCGCCTGGTAGCAAGGCCGGGGACAAGGTCCCAGCGGATATTCGGCTCGTGAAGCTGACGCTTGCCTACCATTGGATTTCTGGGCTTTCTGGTTTAGGGGTTTGCGTAGGGTTTAGGGTTAGGGTTTAGGTTTAGGTCCAGGGGTTTATGATGTCAGGTTTTCTGGGATGAGTCCTCACGGCTCGGTGGTACAACGGCTCAGAGAGCTCTCCACATTGGTCATCGTCCAAAGCTTTTGTCAACAATGTACTTTTGATGGCGAAGATACGATTCCGGGTCTGGGCTGTAGTACATAAGCCATTACAGTTCTGAGGACTAAGTCGATTTACGGTGGCGTAGGATTTCCCGCGTTAGCACCATTTTCCGGGGCTCATGTGGACTCCGGAAACTTGCCTTTTTGCACGAAAGCTACAGAAGCTCTCCCTGCCCTTCCTCTAATCCAGACCCATGCTCCATGCCCAACCTCCGACGTTTTTCATGGGGACCCTCAGCAATCAACCCAAACCGAAAGCCTTGAAGTCAGGTAGCCTAGCCCTCCCTAAACCACTCACCCCTCGGTGGATAGAGGAAATCTTGCATCACGTAGGACCGTCGGACCCCTAGATACTCGCAATTCATGGGGCATAAGGTATCCCCTAACCTTAAACCCATGGGGCATAAGGCATCTAGAGTGCAAGATTCCCTCCACCCTCCATCCTTAGCTTCCATTAATTCGGGGTCTCTTTCTGCGGGCGCCTTCCCATACTGCCGCTTTATTCTATCGGGGCTCTGGTTTTTGGAAGCTGCCAGATGGCTGTGCTTAGGCTTTGGTAGCTTCCCAGCAAGATAGGCTTACAATACTAGCAATGACAATCAGCGGAGGAAGGAGGTTCATGGTAAGCATGCAGTGAGCATTGTTCTTTGGTCAGAATTAAAGTCAGGACCATGAAAGTGTTTGGGTGGTCTTGGTGATCTCACCATGGCTTTCTAACCTGAAGCGGAAGCTGGTGTAACCATTGCCACCAGGGTTAGGGCGAATGCTCCTAGAATTTTACGAAGCGCTTAACCTTATGGCAGCTCCCCTCCACATGCTAGCAGTTCCGTCTAAAAGAGAGCCGACTGGATCATCTCCTGATGCGCTTCTTGTTTTGAGAGCCGCCCATGCCAGCCAGTTGAGGAAAACCACTACAGTGCGTGCAGAGCAGTCCCAGCTTACTGGGGAGTCGCAAAGCGTGACGAAGGCCATGGTAGTCGCGAATCAGGGTCAACGACCATAGATTTAGTTAGTCTAGGGGGTCTGGTTTCAAATAATTTGGGTCTGCAACCATCAATCTGGGGTTTAGGTTCTGAGGGGTATGGTTCTACGACTAGCTTGCAGGATAGAGTCTTTGTGGATTGGACGTCCAGGTTTGGAGGTGAGCTCTTGCAGCAAGCATGTCGCAAAAACGGGATGTGGGGTGCTGGCTATTTTTTCAAAAAAGGCCTTTGCATTGCAAAAGCTTGTCCTGGGTGGAAGTTAAACGTTAATAGTTTGCGTTTATAATGCGCCAGAATTTTGGTGCAAGGCCTAGGACAGGGAAGCTTCACTAGCTAGATTTGAATCCTCCATCAAACATTGGGCCTTGCTGCAGGCAGCCCCCAAACATCCCAAGCCCTGAGCTAAGCCAGACAGTGTCGTGGCTTGACTTCAGGACTCGGACCCTGTTGATGATCCGGAGATTGTGCTGCAAGGTGGCCGTGAGCGAGTGAAAATTCCCTAGCTTTGCCATTGTGATAGCTGCTTATTTTAGCGGGCGGAAATAGTTTTCGGGTGGAACCAGTTCAACTTGCATAGAAGGTCAGAGGTTTTCCAAGAACTTCAGTGGACACAATAGCCCAAAATTCTTTGCGGCGGTGCATAGGCATTTAGGGGCGACGTAGCGCTTTTCATGATGTTTTGTTCTGGGTTCTTCTTAAGCTTGCAAGCGTTGATGTAGTCAGGTATGGTTAGGTTCGCAGCGGTGAAGCCCATCTCTGTTAGGTGTCGCAGCCGAGCAATGCCCGTCCGGTTTAGTAGGTCTCTTTCATTGGCAGGTTTCCAAGCCGAGGGCTCAGTTTGGTTTCGAAATTGCACTATGTCCGGCTAGCTCATTGGGAGGTAAGAGCAACATGCTCTTCGCATCCACCACGATCTCGAACGGCGCTTGCGTTGGGCCACCCGTCTCTGCAGCAAAGCATGTTATGCTAAGCGAAAGACTTGCTTGCTCGTTCATGGAACACTGCTTGCAAACAAAAAGGCCATTAGTTGACTCATAGAAGCATGGAGATTTCTGTCACGTTTTCAGATGCTTAGCTTGTAAGATTTCAATGTGGAGAGCATTCCCATCCCGCGAAGAACCACTAAGCAAAGGTGTGTGGTGGCAACGGGCATGGACACCGAGATAGGCGCCATCCAAGGTGCTGTTACAGAGGCTTCAGAGAAGGCCCGCTCTTATTGAAAAAGGCTTTACAATGTGTGATGTGCCTGGATGGTATGCTTGAGGACAGGGTACGGGGTGTAAGGTTCTGGAGGGGAGCGCTAAAATTGATTGAAGGATAGGGCACTGTGCAAAGCCTATCCATTCTGGACCAAGGTGGAGGCCTCACTTGGGGAAATATGTGGGGTTTCCGCTTTTGAGACACTATGGCTGCATTCGCTACTCCTCGTCTGATTCCTCTCTCCTTTCACATTTGATTTTGACATCTGTTGACTGCCCTATACAGAGTAGATCCAATTCAGAGAACCCTGCCTATCCATGTTGTGAATCATCGCGACAGGAGGATCCTACACCCCTGCAGAAGAAGCTGGATGAGAGACCTGCCTGGCACAGTAGCGCAAGTATAGTAAGAAGCTAAAATGCATCCTCAAGGCCTAGCTGCAATGCATGTTGTTTGAATCTTGTTTTTCATGTGACTAACTCATGAGTACATAGTTTCGTGCAGTGTTCAGCAAACTGCGAGGAGCAGCCAAGCAGCCAAGCTATCTTGTAGGTTTCTGGGCAACTAGCCCCTTCACTTGTAGTTCCCAAGCAAGCTTCTACGCACCGTGCTACGCACGCCAAGGTTCGGTGCAACGCTGGCAAACATAATCTTTGCAATCTGCAGCTGGGACTGCGTTCTGTTAACCAAACAGCTTTCTTGTGAGGATCCTGCAAAGCCGTCACAGACGTTCACATCAAATTCACCTTAGCCACATGCACAGGCTAGTAGGCTCAACATGTCATGGAGAAACCCTGACCAGCCTGTTCACTGGTCTCCTGAACTAGTGCATCCCCTGTACGACTTTTGAATGAGCATACCATGACTCGTGCTACGTTTTCAAGTAAGCCGCAAGCGCTTGATGCTTGAAAGGGACCCTCATCATGTCCCTATTGCCCCTACATATCTGGCTAATCCGCCTGGGTACACTTTTCTAGCCAGCCTACAGATAAAATCCCGAAGCCCCGCACATCTGAGGCCTCATAGTTTGGCTTATCAACTACAAGCACTTCTTTGATCCCGTGCATGGATCCTTCCTGCAGGCGATGGGCGTCGGAGGTTTTTCCCGAAATTCTGTAGCAATCACTTTAAATCATGCTCCAAGCATGTTGCCATTTTCTCTACACAGGGTGCCCGTAGGGACCCCAGGAGTCCGTAAGGATTATGAGGGGTTTATAGGGCTCGTTTTGAAAAATTCCGGTACATCGCGCGAACTTCTCATCCACACAAACTCGGGATGATCCCTTTTTAGGTATGGGAAAATGACACGGAGTCTTGGGTTGTACAGATTTATGGGGACTTGACCGC